AACTCGAGCGTTGCGGTGTTTGGGTGTAATGTACACGATTTTAATTTTCATTCCTTGGTACTTTATTTTTGAATAAGATGCTCCACTTGGCCTCGTTTTGGCTACAATAGTTTAATAATTTGTTATTACCATTACTCATTACCATTAATGAAATAATAGTCAGTCAGAGGGCTCATTAATATGTAATAATATGTATACTTAGCCTGAAGGTGACGCTTTACTACGACGGCCATCTTGGATGGTACGCATACATACATAACTCTGCATTGCTGCGCATCTTGTCAGCACTCTAGTTGTTTAATAGCTCTATGGTTTTAGTACACAAGTAAAATTCACTGCAAAGGTTCAAACCTGCAACCTCAAGGTTAAGAGACCGAAAGCAACCATTTCGCCAACTGCTCCCACAATTATAATACAATTGTTTTTTCTTTTCTAATTAACAGGGTTCTAAGAGAAACAGGACAAGTGGAAAAATTATTGGTTAGTAACTTAATTGCATTGATCTTATTATTGCAGTGGTGTTAATAATTTTTATTATAAAAGGTAAAAAGTAAAAAATAATATTTATGTTTAAACATTGAACTTTTTTGAGCTTCAGAGGTGTGCATTAAAATACAATTAATGAATGTTTGTGAGTTTATGGGAAGGATATTTTTCATTTGTTAAAAGATTCACTGTTCTTTTCAATGAGACTGTGCCAAATTGAATGAAACAGTCCATATTTCAATAAATGTAATTATTTTTATTATTATTAATATTATTATTATTATATTTCTTATTAAATAGTATGATAAAAAAGCACTGACATGTTCAACATTCCAAACAATCTACAGTATATATATATTCATATGTCTGTTTTTATTATCCAGTCTTCGTATGGCTTTCTTCAGTGCTGTGATCGGGATGGAAGACTATTTTTCCATTATAGTGAATTTTCTGACAATGTGGAAGATTTGACAGTAGGAGGTTAGTACAGTAGATGATGTTTGTCAGTTTCATGTGTTTATATAATAGCCTAATTGATCTGTTTTCTTTGTTTCAAATGCTTATGATGAGGGTATATCACACTGATATCTGCTCCATGTTTGCAACTAGGACAGTCCCTGTACCTGAAAAATGATATGAAAAGAATTGTGTCAAATTTGATGAAAATCAGTGTCGGATCCATTCAAAATAGAGAGGACCCAGGGAGGGACTTTACAGAAGACCAACTCTGTCCCACCATGGTTGTGTGGGGGGAGGGAGGTTGGGACTGAGGAAAGAAAATGTATGCTTATGGTGCCTTCAGATAACTGGAAACAGGGGCCTCCCCCCCCCCACAAAACCACCACTACAAATTCATCATTGAGGCCATATGTATCAGCTGATCTATTATTTACAATATACATACATATGGACATACAGTACATATATTTCTTAATTGCATTATCTACCTTATTCTCATCCAATATTAATCTGTACTATTTCAGATGCTGTGGAATTTGAAACGTCCGTTGATAGAAGAACTGGAAAACCTGTAGCTTGCAAACTTGTGAAGCTGAAGAATGGGACCGTATCCACAGAGATATTGAGCGAGGAGAAAGTTACTGGTTACATTGTCAGTGAGGCTAAGCTACCCAAGTCTAGAAATGTAAGATAGTTCAAATAGAAATAACATAATGATATAATTTAATGTGTAAATGTATATATACCGTAGTTTATATGCAAGTGGAGTTGAATTAAATACCTTGGTGGTTAAGATGCTCGCTTTCCAGTCCCAAGGCCCTGGGCTCAATTCTTGTCAGGGTAACAGGATTTGTTCTCACGACCTAAACAATTCCACTCTCTAAGCCTCATAAAGAGTATGTAGAACATCTTGTGTTTACGTTGTCTTGTGAATTGATTTGCCACTTAGAAAAGAGATTAATTTTGCTGTTTAGCATGTCCTTGGCATTGTGCCTAAAAAATAAAGTAATAAGTGAAATAGATATTTTAATAGTAATAATAAATACAACTTGTATAGCGCACATATTCTCTTAAAACGTGCTCAAGGCGCAAGAGACGGAAACATGAAAAAAGAAAAACTTGAACTAGATGCGTGGCAATTTACCCATGAAATGTTCTAAGCTAGAACCAATAAAATGCAGAAGAAACCAGCATCACTGCTTTGTTTACCATCACGTTGAAGACCTCAATGAGAGCTTGCTGGTTCACAACTCACAAAAGCTCTAATGGTACTGGTGTCTGAATGTCCTAACCAATTTAAAAATATATATTTGTAGAGTTTTTGTGTTATTATATATATTATACTAATAATTAATAATCTTATGCAACTTCTAGGAAGTCAAAAGTAATATAACATTGTATAAAACATGTCTACCAAGGGAAAAAGGCACTGAATAGATGAAAATTATATAATGTATTTAAAAGAGAAATACAGTCTGATTTAGCAAGATAATTCTACAGTGGTATTGTTGAAACAATAAACATTCTTATCTGATTTTGTAGCTATCAATGAGGTAATATTTCTATAGAGGGCAGCAGTTATTGAAGACTTTAAATTTGGCAGTACATCTTTTTCATAATGATAAAGAATAACTTTTTTGAGGCAGATATAGAATATATACAACACAGATATTTTGCAAATGCTTCCAGGCAGTATTAAAACTTTTAGTTCCATATCTGGTGTGTCCCTTGATACATCCCATGATTTTATGTGATATCGAAATATCTTGATATTAGGTATCATAATTGTCATGAAATGTTATTAATTAAACAATAATGAATAGATTATTCATAATTTAAGGTGGTTATCTCACTAATATATTGTTTTATTCTTTAGGGGGGAATAAATGGAGAAAGTGGTCAAGTGACTTATGAAATGAATGGGGTAAGTTGGAATCTTTTTATTGATTATTTAATGAATTTTAAGCACATTACGCTTTTCAGTCAGAAAGTTCAAAATAATCTCTTACTGTTGGTTGCCTCCAATTTAAGGTTTTTTATAGTAAAATTTTAGAAATTGTAAACTTATCTTCCACTAGTATGTTGCAGGTGGTCTTTTCCAAACCATGTCTGCAAAGAGACTTCTTTGTGTTGTGATGTGTACCAAATGAGTAAACAAATTGTAATTTGTATAGTTCGTTGGCTCAATACAGACTATATCTATCATTCATAATATTGTATTTTTGTCTTTTCAGGAATGCTTTTTCTTAAATTATATGATTCAAGATGTGGAAACTAAAGACACAAGATTGAAGAAAGAAGATAAAGTTTTGTTCAACATTGCCACGAACAAAAGGTTGGTCACAATGTCAAAACCAATAGAAAACTTTTTGTATTTTTGGATTATTCAAGTGTCTACCCTTAGTGACAGCTATTTTTTAGGCCCAAATTTCTTAATGAATCCACCTAATATGACCCATAAAGGAGCAAAAAGTGTTGAGGTGGATAGCATGAACCATAATATTTAGTATTAGAATTGCTTTGTAAATTTAAAGTTTAAACTTTTAATTGAATTCAAAATTACTGTATGAGCGAATATGTTCCTCTTCAATTAACAAATGCCAGTGGTGGATTCATGGGAGGGCCCTAGCCACCCCCTCCCCCAAATTATAAGGAAAAATTGAGAATTAATTATATTCAAGTGTAAGTCTGAGAGCGCCATTTCCAGCCATCTAGAGGTGCTATGATCATAATTTTTCTTACCTCGACTGTGTGGGTCTAAGGTACCCTCGACCTGTGAAAGTCCCTCCTCCTAGTCCTCCTCCCTTCTATTTAAAATTCATGGATTTGCCACTGGGTGTATAAATATTACTGTTCCTGTACCCTTTGTGAAAGAATTGCCTGCTGAAAGTATTGTTGACATAAAATGAATAATATATAACCATCCACCTAAATGCACACATTATAATTTTCTATTACCTAAACAGAGATGGCAGCGTGCATGCATGTAATATGACATTATTGGAATCTTTTGTTGTGCCTCGGTATCAAGCAATTGTCTGCTCAATGAAGGAATCGTTTGGTTTTCTGGAGAGAGCTGATGTTGTAAAAGAGGTCAGTAACTATAATTTAAGTGTAGTAACAATGTTTCATAGTGTAAACAGTTCCTTTTATTTTTGTCAATTCAAGTGAATATGAAGTATGAAAAGTACGTAAAAGGGTATGCCTGTTAACGGACACTAAAAACAACAAATTTGAAACTTAACATATAAAAGAACAAGAATCTAATTATATATGTATATGCATAACACTTGATTACGTCAATTGTGACGTCATCACTGTAACTCCAGTGTTATTTTCCATTCCAGAACCATGCACTAATTTTTATTAGTGCATGGTTTGACCTTTTCAGTTCATGTGTAAAAGGTCAAAACAACTTTTACAATGTGTCTTGCACCACATTAGGCACTTACGCAAGAGGATGGGGAGCCGTTGACAGTGGCAATTCGGGTTAAGAGCCCAAGTGTTTACTGTGGTCTTCACTCTCTGATGAGCTCAGAATCACCGTCCACTCGTCTTTTAGTCCTGTTGCGTAAAGTGCCTATTGAATATTCTAAGCTATTCTAAATTCTATTTTCTTTTTTTTTTTTTTTTTGTACTGTTTTTATCTTATAATTTATGATTAGATTATTTATTTATTTATTTATTTATTCTTATTTATTTATTTTTATTTATTTATTTATTTTATTTTATTTTTTTATTTTTTTATTTTTTTTTTGTGCTGCTTTTTGATTACTAGGCCTAGATTTTAATTGTATTCTGGATAAATAATAGTTCAAATATGTTAACATAATAACACATCATCATCTTCTTCATTGTCAATCGTTATTCATTCATGATCAACAATCATTATCATCGTCTTTTAGTCCTGTTGCGTAAAATGCCTATTGAATATTCTAAGCTATTCTAAATTCTATTTTCTTTTTTTTTTTTTTTTTGCAGATTTTTTTTCATTACAGTGAATTTGAGGGTGATATAAATGAGCTTGTTTTAGGAGATGATGTTGAATATGACATTGCAATTCGAAATGTAAGTTTTCACTTTTCCTTTATTTATTATAAAAAAAAACCATTCAAAATTTGTATTTAAAAACATTACAATAAATAGTAAAAGAAAGAAAGTCAGGCACAGAAAATCACTATGCAGACATTACAATAGGGATTGCACTTAGGTTGCTAATTTGAATTAGGGAATCAATCTCATTTACCAACAATTTAAAACTATTAATTATTATGTATTCATAGTTTTAGGTGCATGCATTTACTTATATTTATTTTATACTCTTGTGAAACCCTAAAATCTCAATATTATTCTTGTATGTATGTATTACAGTAGTTCATTTTATGCAATTAACATGATATTGTTTCATGATGCTGTTTGAATTTTTTTTAGATACTCTAGTAAGATTAAGACTATTTATAGAGGTGACCTTTCCAGCTTAGCTTATATTCAGGGCACTCTTAAATAAACAAAATCAAAATAATAATAATAATAATATGCTTCATGAACCAAGTCTCATTACTAGGCTTAGGAAGTGGAGATTTTTTTTAGTTGTGATGAAAAAAATCCTGTGCTGAATAGGATTTCAACCCCTGGACCCAGGGATGGGAAGGTAAGCATCTTAACCACTAAGCTACATCTCTACTGCTTGAGAACTTGTGAAATGATAAATGATTGATGTAAAGATAAATATACATTCATACTAAACTACCTTCCCGTTGGTTATTATCCAGCTTTCTATCGCTAATTAATGTCCAAATGACCCATCATATATCATGTACAGGTCCCATTACAATTAAAGACCACTTTTTGGACCAGTGTTGGTCTTTAGCACCTTTGGTCTCTAATGTATGAATTTTAAAAAATGGTCTTTGATTAGATGTAGACCCGTACTTGGCACAGGTTGAAATCAGTGATTACCCTAATAATATCTTAATGTTTATAGGATAAAGAGGTAGCCATTAACATTAAAAAGCTACCACCCGGCACTGTGGTGTTTGAGGAAATATCAGAAGAGAAGTATGTTGGTCACATTTCTAAGGTGATACCGAGATTCAGCAATCGACGTCAAACAGAACCGTTTCCAGGGAAGCTCATATTTGAGACGCCAGATGGAGGGTAAAATTACAATAATATTTTTTACTTAAACCTAAGAGATTGAGTAAAAATAATACAGTTTCTAAATAGTGCAAATCATATTCCACAACATGTAAACATGCTTTCCTGTAGTCATACTATTAATTAAGCTTCATAAACAAAATGTAATGAAATGTAATAACATAAAAAAAATGTTATGAAATGTAATAACATACAGATGTGACAACATTGTGCACCCAAAATAGTTGTTAAACTTTGACAAAATTAGCCAACATTACTTTTTTGTCTCTATTTAGGAAAAGAGAACTTTCATTTGGTGAAAAAGATGTGATAGGAAGTTACACACTAAATGAGGATGATATGGTGGAGTTTCAGATAGCCACAGACAAGAGGGATCTCCTACAGCGAGCTACTAATAGCAAATTCAGGATGGAGACATTTGAAAATATGAAAGAATCCAGAGAAATGGTATTTATTAATTTTTTTTTTAAAAACCGTATTTATAGAGGGTGACCCTTCCAGCGTATCCTAGAAGGTCGGCTGATATTCAGGGACGCTCTTAAATAAATGAAATAATGTGATGCTTTTATCAGCAAAGTCTCTTTATTAGGCTTAGGGAGTGGAGTTGTTTTTAGTTGTGAAAAAAAAAGTCAACCCAAGTCCCACGGATTATAAGGCAAGCATCTTAACCACTAAGCTATTCAACTGCTGGGTGGCCTGATCATTGCAACAGCTTTGTTCTCCTTCAAGCCCAGCACATATTATGCCCAAACATAGTACACAGTATGTTAAAAGTACCAAATAACTTCGAAAATAAATTGTGTTATTACAAGTGATAAGTTTAATTAAAGTATTATATTTTGATTGTATTTTTTAAAGGGTGTAGTTGCAGCGATAAAGGAAGGTTTTGGATTCATTAAGTGCGTGAACCGTGAACCAAGAATGTTCTTCCATTTCAGTGAACTCCTGGAACCGGTAAAGCTCATTGACAATTGCATGGCTTGCTTAGATGGCATGCAAATTTTATGGGTTGTATAATTATAGATTTTGAAATAGGCCTCTACCTCCTCTTTATCACCTCTTCCTTCTTTCTCTTATCCATCACAATATTGATTTGGTTTTTTTTTTGGTTTTTTTTGTCTTTAAATTTTATAAATTTAATTACTTTCAGGGAGATCTTCATATATCTGATGAAGTAGAGTTCACTGTTATTCCAGTAAGTATAAATTTATTTTATCTACTGAATACATTATTTATTTCTATATGTGCTATATGGGCTAGCTATGTCAAAACCAGCATCACTAATAATAATAATAATATGTTATTAATAATTATTATGAACATAATTAAATTTATAAATCTGTGCAATGGCTGAATTTTAGGCAGGCTTAAAATTGTTTAATAATACCAAAACGAAAATACAGTTGAACTTGCCTAAGTAGAATCCAAAATGGCATTGAAAAATTGTTTGAATTAGATCAAATTTGACTTACAGATCGTTAATTAATGGAAAACACAATAATTTGGCATCTAAAGTAAGATTGACTTAGAAATTATTTTAGTTATGCAAGTTTAACTGTAGTTTATTTTAACTTTATTTTTCCTCCGCTTGTATAGGATCCTAATGCTCCAAAGCGACAGATTGCTGTTCGTATCCGACAACTTCCAAAGGGATCTGTAAGCTTTGAAATCGTACAACCGGAACGTATTCAAGGAACTGTGGAAAAAGTACCAACAAATATGGTAACCATTAATAAAAATAGTTCTAATCCATTCAATTCAGTATTTTTTTGGCAGTAACATATTTTTGGTACAAAGGAACTCAATAAAAACCTTAAAAACAAGTAATGATAACTTTTGGTAATTTGAGCAAGTAATAATGACTTTAGTAATTTGATCAAGTAATGATAACTTTTGGTAATTTGATCAAGTTATAATAACTTTGGTAATTTGATCAAGTAATAATGACTTTTGATAACTTGATTTTTCTCTCCATAGTGGGGCAAGAGTCCAGGTAAATGCAGTAAAGATAAAGAACTTGACCGTGGATTAATAAGTTACCAAATGAATGGAAAGAAACAGACTATCGCTTACCATGCTAAAGACACAGATATACGCACACCACCAAACACAGGTGATCAGGTAGGTACAACTGAGAGAAAAATGTACATACAGTAGAACCTCCATTTTATGTATGGTATGGTATTTTGGTAATCTTTGGAAGCAGCATTATGTTCCTTATTTTTGTTTACCTTTCCCAAAAGTAAATTTGAAATGAATTATAAACCTATAAGTTAGTATAATTAGGTAATAATTAACCCATGATAACATTGTTGCAGGTCGAATTCAATCTAGCGGAAGTGAAAAAAGACAGCACGCAGACAGCTGTCAATGTTGTCGTACTAAATCGTGGTGAAGAAACAACAAAGTATGGCTATATATCTGTTCTAAAAGACAGCTTTGGATTCATAGAAACTGAACAACATGATAGAGAAGTCTTCTTCAGATACAGGTAAGCAGATCTTGTATCAGAAAATTGATTTACTGTTGATTATTTTAATTATATGTTTTTTATTATTAATTGGCATTAAATTGTCGTATTGTTGAGTTTGCTTGTTTCCTTCACCACGGAGGTTATGTATTTATCCCTGGCTGTCTGCTAGCAAGATTACACAAACACTAAGGAATAGATCCTCAAAAAATTTAGTGGAATGGTACATAAAATAATCTGAAATCCGATGACTAATTTTCGAGAAAAGTTCAAAGTCAAAGAAATTCCTTTTTTTTTCTTTGAACTTACTCGCGACCGTAAGATATATTAATTAAATCGCCCGTGCACGGCCTCTATATTGTTTGGTGTTCAGGCACAGCTGGGAGGTATTTGCTCTATTGAAATATTTAACACTAAATTAGATACAGTATATCACAGTAAATTTAATTCTTAGGATGTTTAAAGTTATAAAATGCATTGATTTTGCTTCAGTGACATCAGAAACAAAACAATAAAAAATTGACACTCACTAAAGTCATCTATGGTTTCTTGCTTGCTCATTTTAGCTCACAAAAATACTGAAAATATTTAAATAAAAACTTTTATTTGACTTTTATTATCAGTGAGGTTAATGGTGACATCAATGAATTTGAGCTCGGGGATGAGGTTGCGTTTACAATGGTGCGACGCAGCACCAGAGTACATGCCGAGAACATCAGGAAGCTGGCCAAGGGAACTCTTCCCGGTGAGGTAGTGAAGCCGGATGTGCAGCTAGGTCAGGTGGTACGACCACTTCGCAATATTGACCCACAGCAAGAGGAATACGAAGGTCTTGTTCAGTTGATACAGGAAGGTAGGTTGAAGTTATCTAAGTCAATTCTGAAAAAATTCACCCACACTTCTACAAACTATTCACCCAGTGCTGTGCTATCATTGTGGAGAAAGGATATTTATTTACGATTGTCCTGTGCTTTCTTTTTTATAGAAAAGGAAAATGACACAGTATAGTGCATTTGATAAATTGCTGATGGTTAATGCTTAACTATGTTCGATATATGACTATTAAAATTGTTCATATTCTGTATTATTGTAATTATATTATATATGTGGACGGTCTTTTTTGTAACATATTTTTATTGTATTGTGCAGGATCAATCAAAATTAATTAATTACTTCATTAAAAACTTCATAATTTTACTAAATTTTGTAGATGAATCTGAAGGGGAAGTGTACTCATACTGCATCACTGGCCTCACTGATAAACATGAGTTCTTGCAAGCTGGTGATAAAGTGCGTTTTCAGATTGGCGTTTCAAGGACCGATGACAAAGAATGGGCTTGTAACATCACAGCACTTAGAAAGTTTATTCGCAGTAAAGTGGACTCACTCAAGGGACAGGTATGTAACTTTTTTTTTTATTTTTTAAGTCTAATAATTTGCCTATGAACAATGAATATACTAATTGCTTCATAAGTCAATCATCTCCTTAAAAAATTCTTCAAATTAAATCTATAAACTCATTTCTTTGAATGACAGTTGTCAGTTAGTCTTTGTTATTTACTACGTTGCTTGTTATGTTTATTGTTGTTCTTATGTAGCGATGTACTGCTGTCTTTGTGAGAAGTTTCTTATATATGTGACATAGACAAGCCAACCTGTCACTTGTCGCAAATCCTGTTTCAGAGATAGTGGCCAAAACGTGCTGGAATGTCAAAATTCTTTTCTATTATATTGCACTAAACTAACCTTTATATAGCTACACAAATATGCTATATTGTTGTTTTCCCCATTTTCAATGTTAAAACAACAATTTTTAACAATTTTATAATGGTTTCTACCTGAAAAGTGGCAAAAAGCGTAAAGTTTGAAGGACGATTTCTCAAAAATTGTTCTTCAAACAGCTGTATGATGAAAATCCTGTAACTTCATAATGATATTTCAGCTTTAAATGATTCTTTTACCTTTTTGTACTGTTTAACCCTGTATTAATAACTAAAAAATCATTTTTTTTTTCTGTGAGGAGTGACTGGTTTGGCTTGTCTTTGCCACATATATGTGGCTAATTAGAGTGAGCCTTTATCCCTATTCATGTTATTCTTCAGTTTTTTTTAATAAGGTGAATATCTGATAGCAGGGTTATAAATGTACCCTTGTAAAACTGTTGCCAACAGGCTATTATATTGTTTATTGTTGTTATATATTTTTCCAGTATGGATTCATTGACTATGAGATGGAAGAAGGCAAAAAGCTGTTTTTCCACATGAGTGAGGTTCAGGATGGCATTGACCTGCAGGTTGGGGATGAGGTAGAGTTTGTAATGATATGCAACCAGCAGAACGGTCGCTATAGTGCCGTCAATGTTCGCAGACTCAGGTAAGGCATTGTTAATCATGATTTCTTTTCATGATTCTTTTCTACCTTCTTTCACAAACCAGTTTTCAATTTTATTTTTTGAATGTTAGTGCACTAGAGTATATTTCAAATTTTAGGTGCCATCTTTGCCATATCTGAAGTTTTTCTTTCTCTAAATTAAATATATACAGTACATCATTTATCAGTCAACTTAACTCCCTATGACTCTTAAGCATTGTGTTCACTATTGGCAAATCCTTGGCTCTGAGCCTAAAAAAAAAAAATTAAATTACATCATCACATTGCATTCTTTAATTTCAAGTGATGACCTAAGAGTGCCCTCTGTTTCTTTTTACACACATTTTTTTTTTTATTAATTGTCAATAACTTTTTATTTTCAAGCATAGATGCTTTTGGTGATAAAAAAAAAAGTTTATAATTTGTAATGTTATTTTTTATATTTTCTCTATTTTAGTAATCGTCAGCGACCTGAACATCTTGTGCACAAGTTGAAAACGAACCAATCTTTAGAAAAGCGTGGCCCTCGTTTCATCGTCACCAGACAGCCACGTGGCCCAAACGGTACTAAAGGGTTTGAGCTACAACGACAAGTGCCGTAGTCCTGGAGATGATGTGATCACTATCCTGCTAAAAGCATATTGGTAATAACTAATGAGAAGAAGAATGCGTCTTTTAATGTAATTTTGCTACGTATATAATGAAAGTATTCTTTTTTTTTAAATGGAATGAGCCCTTAAGCAATAAAAAGATTTGTTAAGATTGAAGTGGTGCTATGAAAGAAGTACAGTAAATGGATTTCAACAATAACTTCCGTATATTTTAAAATAAAGTTTTCACAGGAGTATTCAGAAAAATGTTTTTAAAATAATATGAACAATTTCCAAAATATATTTACCCCTATTTTATAAATCTCTGCTTTTCATATTATCATTTATGTTGTTTTTATCATGTCTTATATCATGCAAAAATGGATTCATTAAGAGGCCTTGTTAAGTGAAATCTGTGTTAGTTGTCCACCTAATATGAAAATAAGAGTTATTCAATAAATAAGGATATTCAAAAATATATTGGAAGCTTAATTTCTCCCTCACTATCCAAAATTTGTATTTATTTTTGTTTGTTGGTAAATATTGTTTATTGATTGTAATTCTGAAGTAAAAAGTGTATCACAACCTTAGTGGAATGTTTACGTCATTCTTTTCTTTTCTTGGATGGAGCTTCTGAAAGTGATTGACCAATGTATTCTGACTAAAACCATCAAGTTAAGGCTGGCAATTCAAGGATAAGAAATTGTTGACGAGCTTGGCCCGGGTCCTCGTCCTTTATGAGGGTATCAATGACCAGCAGTTTAATACTTCAACCTGACAAAAGCAATTATACCATCTCTGCAAATCTGATCCATGTTCGTTTTTTTTCTGATTGGTTTAATGTCTGAATAATGACATGTAAAAGTAGAACTTTAGGATATTATTTGTAAAGAATATTGCTCTTATCTATCAAATTAAGATCATTTTTCAGTTTGAGACAACTTCATTATTAAATACGATGGTCTGCATCACTAATTACTCATATTCCCTCTTTAGAACCACATTATATACCGTATATCACATGTGCAATTTGTGTAGATTGGATGAAGCTAGAATAATTATATCCCGCTTCATAATATATAGCTGAATTATGCAAGAATAGTAATTGTCATTTTTTTAAATCCAGTGCACTATGTATTATTATTGAATGGTATTGTCAAGTCAACTCCGAATCATGTTTGTAACTTATCGATACAATATGTATTTTTAAAAATCAATGAAGATTCATTCTGTACATGAGAACCTGTAACAGTAAATATTATGTTAATGAGAAAAGAAGGTGTTTCATTACTATAAATAAATGCTTATCTTTTTGTTTTTATGTATGTTATATATATGTGCATGTTCTTAAAAAAGATGGGACAAAGAAGATGAATAAAGGAAAGAATCGACAAAGAATTAAATAGTTTGAAATATTTTTTACATGGCTATTTCCTCCTCCCTTTCGCATTTGTGCCTCTTCATAAATTAAATTTTAGTTTCTTGTGCCTTGAGGTGGTTTTTACTGTGGAAGGCAAAGGTACATGACCATTGAGATATAAAAATAATCAATTTGAATTTAATAATGAATTTGAAGACCAGTCATATATATAATAGAATGTAAAAACAGTTCTTTATAAATGGATTTAAATTCTAGTCATTATACTGTATAAGAAATGTAAAAGCAGTTATTTATATATAGTCAAATCGGTGAAATTTATATAAATAACATTGGTGGATTCAAGGAGCCTTGTCGGACAGGGGCCCTCTAAATTTTTCAACAAAAATTTAAAAAGTGGAGCGAAAAAAAAAATTATATTCAAATTTATGTCTGAGAGTGCCATTTCCGGCCATCTAGAGGTGCCATAATAATAAATTTTCTTACCTCAGCCCCAACCATGGCGGGGCTGAAAAGAAGGAATTCGGACATGGTTGATGTTATGAACTTCAGGCAAACTCCTTACAAACTTGGTAAGGGAACATAACGCTCGGGAAATGTACGAGCGAATAATTAGGAAGTCTACTTACAATGTTTTCTCTAGAACACGAGTTGTATAATAATAATCTTGAAGAATTATGGCAATCGTTTACTCAGGAAATCTTGAAATCAAACTTCTAACGGTATTTTAATGGGCATGACTGCACATTATCAGCTGAGAATTTTTTGTCTATTTATGAGTCTGCCATTACTCTTGATAGTAATTGTAGGGATAGGTGGTGGTACATTTAGGACATTCATGCTGCTGGATGTAATCGTCGACGATTTGCTCGCCGTTATAAAAAAAAGACAGGTCTACTGAGAACTGGAATGCCTTTGTTTCAGTAAGAAATATGTTTGCTCCCTTATTTTTTAATAAGACAAGTTGGATGACTGTCTACCATGCATTAAATGTTTTATTAAGAATAAATAATAGCATGCAGTAACTACGTCCATTAAAAAATAAAACATTATTTTTTTTATTTCCTTTCTAAATAGAGAAATCTACTTTAGTGCCCAGGGGTCCCAAGTCACGTGCAGAGTCCGGGATGGAGACTCCTGGACTCAAGCACTCCCGCGATCGAGCAAGCAAGGATCTTCCGAAATCTCAAGCCGCATGATGATATTTCATGCTTTTACTAGTTTTTACTACTTTGTCTCCAAGTTAGTGACAATCACAATTAATGGTTCACCATGCACACCAAAGTATATTTAGATATCACTTCATTTAAACAGATCTCTCGGATGGATTCTGGTCTTTTTTAAGGTGTCTAAAACGGGCCCCTAGGAAAATTTATTGTGATCGCAACCTGATACCGCCGCACAAATGTAGGCCTAATTGATTTAATATATTGTTTGAGTAACTTTCAATAATATTCAATGGACGAAATATATCTAAATATATAATAAATTTACTATCACTAAAAAATAAATAAATAAATTCACTATTCAATTTCCCATGACATCTGTGTCTAAAATGGCCCCACTACTCTTAAAATATTATTTATCGCTAGGCCTACGTGTTCAGTCAAGTTCAAAACGGGCCCCTTGTTATAAAGGGGTCCATTAGGCTAGTGGTTCCAGGGCCTGACAAAATTGAATTTGTGCAAAACCATCAATACATTCCTGTGGTTATGTTCCTCTTAACTATTTATAACTATCCATTTAAAACAAAATTACGGTAAGAGATTGTTGATACTTCCTCAATTTAAACTTAAAATTAATGACAAAATAGCAAAACAGTGAAATTTTGATATTTTGTCCTACATAATATTGATGGCTCCCACAACATGAAACTTGGTGGTACTGTCAATGGATCAACTGTATGACATTCATTTGACTATTTTAGTATTTATCCTAAAATATTGAACAGCCACCCTCCATGGCGCCCTTTTTTAGACACTTTTCCACTATAATTAGGATTTTATTAGATAAGATAAGATACACCAAAGACGACCATTTGCAGAGCAAAGTGAAAATTTACTACTTTTAAAATAAAGGCCTATAGTGGTTTTAGCGGAGTTTTTTTGTTTGTTTGTTTGGTTTTTTTTTTTCTTTTGTTTTTTTGTTTTTGTTTTTTTTTTATTTTTGTTTTTTTAACAGACTAGGCCTGCATAAAATTAAAGCCGTGGTGTTTTTCATGATGATACATAGACCAATGTGACGTTGAAGTTTTTATTTAATGGATAAAGGCCTAAGACGAGTGCTGCAGGACTTGATGTGTGGATTTTTGGTTTATGAATCAGTAACAGGTGTATTCTCAAGTAAAAGAAAATGCAGATTCTGAATGCATTTCCGAGAATTCAGAAAACAAAATTTCCTGGTGCAGGGCCGCCAAGAGTGGGGTTCTGTAAGGGCAAGGGTTGGTGTGGGCCCTCAGTTACGAGCGCGAAGTGAGAGAAAGATTGCGCATTTGCAAACATTTTTTTTTTTTTTTTTTGACGGTGGGTGGGTGGGGAGGTCCCATTATTAGGGGATCCATGCCATTATTGACGGCCCATGATAGTAATTATTATTTTTTGAAAAAAATATTGGAAACAAAATGCTACCTGCAATTTCTATGGGTCCCCCTCGTAAGCTTGAGCCCCGGGGATCTTTTCCCCGTCCCAATTCCCCATCTCGGTGGCCATGGGTTTGGTGTCAGATCTGGCAAAAATATCAAGAGCCTATAGCGCCACTGGGCGGCGCTCTATAATCTTTGGTACAGTACTGGTTAAAAAACATGCTCGAGTAAGTGCTAGAAGTATACGAGGGAGGAAAAGTGTCGTGTTTAGGACAGGGATTTTGCTAGGGCATAACTTTGTAGGCTGTTAAGGGCCAAGCAATGTGAGTATGCTAGAAAGTATTCTTATAACTTTTCGTTATTGTTGTTAGTTTACCTGAAAACACCTGTATTTTTACTGTAGATTCGTCACTGGCAGTGGTAGTAGTTACAGTGGAGCGGTAGGGAGAGGGGTCCTCTGTAGTAGCTAGTACTCCTAGGCGTAGGCGTAATAGTCCTACTAACTAGCTATGCCCGGACCCTAGGCCTGTCTGTAGAGTAGGCCTAGGCTATAGTGCTAGAAATTATTATAATTATTTCTATAGTTCTTTGCTATATGCCTGGGCTACTAACATC